AACCCTGATCATGTGATTATATTCTTAGTATAAGTACCATTTATAGTCGCACACACCCATTTTACATAGCATCATCCACTTTTAATACAAGTCATTCCTTTTTATCATCAGTTTCATCATTTAAAAGTCCTTGATATCAGGTTTAATAAGGCTTGATCCAAGGCCAAGACGTTTAAGTCTTGTTTAATAATTTATAAAAATAATTTAAAACTTAATTAACTTTAATAAATATTAAAGACCTTTTATAAATAAAATAATTATAAAATAAAAAATATATATTAATAATAATTAAAAATAATTAAAGGTTTTTTCCAAGTTAAAATTAAATCGTTAATAATTTAAATAATAAAAAAATATTAAAATATTTTAAATTAAATTAATTAGTTATATTAAATAATTTAAAAATCCTTAATTTTATATAAAATAGCCGTATAACACACGTTCTTATAATTTTATTTCAATTAATCAAATCACATCATAAATATTAAATAAGAATTGGTATCTCTTACAAAGTATAACATATCACTTTAATGTTTAAATCTTCGTAAAAGGCTTTAAACAGCTAATAATAATACTATACTTTAAAAAAACTATAAAAATCTATTAATCGGATAAAATATATAAAATAAATACGCAAAATAAGGCCATAAACTATAAATATAGGAAAATAACGAATGTATTTATATTAAATATATAATTAAATAATAATAATCGTGGCTATTTGATTAAAAGAATACGATAAATATTAGACCTTTATATGGCCTGTAACCTAAGATTACATAATAATACCCTTGCTCTTGGCAATGTGGCACCATACCAGTTCAATATCATTAATTAGACCTTATAGATTGCCTATTCAGTACGTATTAGTTGTGTGACATTAATCTAACATTATGTTATGTAGGTAAACAAGGGTATCAGGCTTCTTACATTTCATTGCATGGTGTCTAGCATAGAATACACCGAATAGGAACACTTTGGCGGGTTGGTATAGATAAGGCGGCATAATGAAAACGGCACAGCGTCGTTATTATATATTAAGCAGCTATACACATGTGTGTCTTCTCTCCCCTCGCCTACTCTTAATGCGGACCTATTCATCATCACAAATATATTCTCATCGTTTACTAGCCATACGCTTTCTTTGCGACAATGCAGAACTACAGTGAAAAGGAACTTGTGGCTAAGAGACTCAAGGGCCAGCTGCTTGTTATCCCGGACATGCGTCCCATATTTTCACATTGGCCCAGCGAACAAAACGAGCACTATCATACCGTGAAGGTCATAATAGACAAACAGATCGCAGAGTATGTAATACTACCCAGAACAAACGCGGGAAACTACTAACATTAACAAGGCAACCTATGGAGGATGAAGCTCGTACGGCATTTTACAACATGAATCCGTCTCTGATCGCAGCAAGGTATATTGATATTAATATATATACCTATTTACCAATAGACATGTATTTAGACGCATAGACTAATTGTTCACTAGATGGTGGCCAAGGTCTTCGGAAGAGAACTACCGGGTCTTGGTCGATCTAATCATCTGGTTTGCCTATTGGGATGATCTCTCCGAGAGCCTCGCCGCCGATCCTAGTACTGCCGAAAACCTTCGTAACGCCACCAAGATTCTCGGCCGCCAATCGCTCGGTCTGGCAACTTCAGAAGAGGATATTGACATTTCCAACCCGCTCATACTGGACTTTAGGAGAATTGGCGGGAAGATTGGTGCTGCCTATGATGAAGGTGAGAACGCAACATAGTCTATAAATTGCTCAAAGCGGATATTAATATTTCCTGTGGCATGCAGAGCAGCGAAAGACCTTCTTAGCTCATTTCGAGAAATACATTGATTCGACACGTCTTGAGGGAGAGGCCGACTTGAGTGAGACCCTACCCAGCCTTAAGAGGTATTGGGAGGTAAGGATATTGACAAGCGGCATGGGCATATTGCTCGGCGTCACCGAGTAAGTAACCAACTATATAACCAACTATACTAATGTCAGACATTAAGATGCTAACACTTAAACAGATTTGCCGCCGAAGTCAAACTACCCCGTCATATAGTCAGCTCAGCTGCATATGACAGCTTGTGGACAACAACTGTCGTAATTAGCTCAATGTATGTGCCTATAACAGGTAATAGAGTTGGGTTAAGTGACTGATACAGGATTAGTGTGAATGACTTGGTATCATTCAAAAAGAGATGGTAAGTATAACTAATCACAATGTCGAGGGGGATTTGCTCATATGCCTTTAAACTAATACGGCCTTGTTCATAGAAAGCGGGAAGCGTGTTGAGCTCTGTCGCCATACTATACGAACAAGTTGGTAACCTTGACGCGGCAGTGCAGATGTCGGTTGCCCACCTCAAAATACTAGTCGACGAATTCGACCGCACGGCCAACATGCTGCTGTCTAAGTTTCACCTGAGCTCTGAAGAGATTGAGTCTGTCTCGAAAGTCATCGATACTCTCAGGACGGCCAACACTGGAACTCTAGAGTGGAGGTTTGTTAATATTTTGAATAAACACGCGGTTTATAGAGCCGTGTTTGCTAACATCTTGTTCAGTTTGCAGGCGAAGCGCTATGGAGTCTGCGACTCTATAACACAGACTGGTCAGATTGAAGTGGTGCTATGATTGCTGAATAGGCTAGGATCTAGAATATTGAGGGTCCTTGAGAAAAGAACAGTCAAACATGGCACACGAGAGAACACGGGGCCTGAGTTATAGATGATCGTTGAGATTGGGTCAACAGATATGGGGCACTCGTTTGACCCTCTTCAAGTATCAAGTATCAATCATGAGAAGGTGATATGAATTTCAGGAATTTATCGTATCTCCTTAACTTCTATACCATAAGATATAGGATATATATTTACCTGTCTAGTTTCGTCACTAAGTAGTGATGAAATTAATAATGTGCTATGATTTATCCTTCTAGGATTTATCCCTTGCCGTGTAAGACTCAGCCCCCACGTTGTCTTCCAATATCAACCCCTCGCCATTTTATATATACGTTAAGCACCCAAGGTACGTGAGCTAAGGAGAGGTCTGCTATATACCATATCACTTTAGACAACCTAGTCTCGTGTTTCAAATATAAAAATATACCAAGAAACCTACCATTAATATCATCGTCAATGTTGCCGACATTGACAACTTGGCGTATCTTGGCGGGCCGATCTCTAAGCCCACGTTCCATCCGCTTTCCAAAAGGAAATCTAAACTCGCAAACTTAATATACGACAACTTGAAATGCTACAACGATATGCCGGTCTTACATTACCGAGCCGTGGTCGGTTGCGTGCTGTTAGGCACTCGTGTCGTATCCGTCTCCTTGCTAGAGGCTCGTAATACTGAAAGCTTAAGAGGTTAAAGTTGAGTCATGCACCCGCTTCTGTTACCCGGATATGACGATAGATACATATACCTAACTGTTCTATATACTTACTTAGATATAGATATAGATATAGATATAGATATAAATAGACATTTATTTGCTTTATTTTCATTGCCATTTTGCTTTTCACGGACGGTATTGAGTAGAGGAAGTCAATATTACTTACTACCTTGTCTATAAAGTTGAACGTCAAATTCACGATGAGATTCCTCGCACTCCTATTAGCTCCTCTTGCTGTCCTCGCAGCCCCTATCCTAGAGGCCGACGGCGAAGCGATCCCGGGTAAATGGATTGTCGTTCTCAAGCCGGATAATACGACCGGTGAACTCTCCAGCACACTCGCAAATATTTTAGATGGGATAGCTCCCGAGCACACCTACGACATAGGCAGTTTTCAGGGGTATTCGCTTTCGGCTTCCGACGATGTGATCAACTCGATTGCAGATTTAGATGAGGTTAGCTCACTGCTTTCTTTAATATTGAAGCTAGCTGGCTAGCTAGCTTTTTCTTATATAATAAATAATAACGAACGACTAATTAGCCTCCAGATCGCATATATTACGCCCGACACAAAAGTCAGCATTGCGTCCCTGACCTCGCAAACCTCGGCACCATGGGGTCTCGCTAGGATCTCTAGCCGGACGCCAGACGCCTCCAAGTACACGTACGACGAGTCTGCCGGAGAGGGCACGTATGCATACATCCTTGACACCGGTATCTTCGTCGATCACCCCGAGTTCGGCGGGCGTGCTTTGTTTGGCGCCAACTTCGTGCAGGACAACAATAACAACACCGACGAGAATGGACACGGCACGCACGTCGCCGGCATAACTGGCTCCAAAACCTACGGCGTGGCCAAGAAGACCAACCTGATTGCCGTAAAAGTCCTTGGTCCGACCGGGTCTGGTGATGTCAGTCAAGTAATCGCGGGCCTCCAGTGGGCCGTGAAGGATGCTATCTCGAAAGGAAGTGAGTTCCTCTTCCTTACCAGTTAACCACCTGCTAGGTATAGCCAGAATAATATCGACTAACGAGAGATGGCAGCAATCAAAAAGGCAGTCGTCAATATCTCACTTGGAGCTCCAAAGATAAACCCCGAGGCTCCCCTGAACGCAGCGGCATCGGCAGCGGTTGAGCAGGGCTTATTTATAGCCGTCGCAGCCGGTAATGACGACGAGGATGCTGCGGGCTTCACTCCCGCCGACGAGCCTAGCGTCTGCACGGTTGGCGCTACCGAACGTAATGATAGCCGGACGTCTTTCTCTAACTACGGCGATCCAATCGACGTATTTGCGCCGGGAGAAGACATCATTAGCACGTACAATAATGGCAGCACGGCGATCCTGTCAGGCACTTCCCAGGCCTCGCCGCATATCGCCGGGCTCGCCGCCTACCTGTTAGCCCTGGAGGGTCCACGTGATCCTATTGCTCTATGTAACCGCATCCAGGAGCTCTCTACCAAAGGCGTAGTGACAGATTCTAGGTCTAAAAATAACAACGTAGCAAACAATGGGGTTGAACAAAGCGAGTAGGGCTTTAGGTTGGGACTCAGCAGCGTCATGTCGCGGACACGAGGTCCTGGCGTGTATCTGAGTTTGGTATATGCTTCCACTACTATATATATCTTGCATTGGTTGGAATGTACTTTTTACGATCTAGTCGCGTCATGTTCTCCCTCGGGAACGACCAAGCCATGCATCCCCTTGTACGGTGCGATTTCTGCAGGTTTCCACCCGCTTTTCTGCAGTAGACCTGGATCCGCGTGCGTGAAGACTTGGACCTTTAGTGGCCTGCAGCACTTGATCATCTCCTTCTCGCTGTCGGCACCGAAGCCCCATAGCGATAGGTCACCCCCAGGACATGTACCTATATATTGTCAGTAATAATAAATAGTAAATGATGATAGGGAGAATGCGGCGTACTCAGGGCCATCAATATGTCCTGCTCGGCTAAGAACTCAATGTAATCTCCCTTCTGGGCAGGACAAGGATTCATAAAGTAACGCCCTTGCTCATCTAGGCCCGTGACTTGAAATATGTTGATAACATCGTGCACGTCGCTCTCATTTAGTCCATAGGGAATTACGGCCCGTGTAAGATTGGAACGGCAGTGAAAGTCGTATCCCTTACCCGAAAGCACGCTTGAGATATATCCATCACACCCCGTACCCAGCAAGTCGTGGACGCGGCCGCCATGCTCATCGACACCGTACCAGGAGAGACTATCACCTATAATTGTCACGAGGGGGCGCATATAAGGCAGACACGACCATAGTCTGTCGTACGTTGAGACGTGAGAAGCGTAGAGTTGCTTCGTGCGCGCCGCCCAGAACTTCTCCCGGGGATTATGAGCGTTCCAGATGTTTAGGTCTCCTTGATGCGATCCCATTAATCAGCTTGCCCTTCTCACGACAAGTCAGGGTCCCTATATCAGATATACATACCAACCTGCGGACCCTCGGGCGTGCTGATTCGCACAATCGACCCAGCGGGTGCTTTCCAAGCCCTACCTGACCTGATAGAAATTACAAACTCTTGGGCCAAGCAACGCGGGGCGCTCGCGATTGTATCGTATAAGTCTTTATTAACTGTTAGCGGTGACCCGGTTACGGGTAGATATGCGGGTTTCGGCTTTGGGATCGGCTTCCGGGCCTTAAGACGGGCCTCGGCTTCTTCCTTGCTTATAGACATGATGGAAATAGTGAATAATATATTGTCTTATATATGTTAAGTGAGGCTTTTTAAGCAAGACTGAATAATATATAATAGATAATATGTTGCTTCTGAAGACCTCCGGTAACGCTATCGGTGAGATGAATGATGTCTTGTAGAAGCGGTGCGGAGTAGTGAATAGTGAATCCTAGGCGCAAACTAATGAGCAACAATAGTGGCCTATATGCATTAGAGTAGTATCATATGTTTCCCACTCTGACACTCTGATTCGGATTCTTATCAGATATATATTTCGTAGTGGCTGTTGATGATCTAGCATGGCGGTTGCTTTCCTTATAAGGCATCCCGTATGAAGTTCGCGAACCTATTTGCTAATATATATAGTACCTGGGTGACTCAGTTTCTCGCATGGTCTTATTAAGCGCATCGCAGTTCTATCAGTTCTATCACGGAGATGGCCGTTCAAAAGTGATAATGCTATATAATAGGAAGATAAACTTAAATGTTAGGGCAAGATACTGTAGTATTACAAGTACGTAATTGTATAGGGAGCTGCGACTGGATAAAAGGGGTTAAGTTAAAAGAGAGAAACTGTTTGGATAAGATAGGATAGTTAAGATAAGCTAATTGCCTATTACATGCTGCATAACTGTTTCCTTTAGAGCACTAACACCTCTAAATACAGGGGACCTACGGGGGGTTAGGTAGGTAGGTAGTGGATCATACCTGCCGAACCTCCTCGGAGTACCTGGCTTATAGGTAGGTATGTACCTACCTCAATCTAAATTAACGACTACAACAAGAAACTCCGACTGCTACTACGACTTCGACTTCACCTGCAACATTATCTACTACAACTAATGTTTGTGATTTACACGAACGCAAACGAGACACAGACGAGGCAGCTCACCACAAATTCCAAATACGATTAAGAAAACCGACCGATTCTAGTTAACAATGGATAAGCTTCCGCCAGAGATCCTCCTCCACATCCTCGAGTTCACTGTCATAGCGCTCTATGGCAATAAGAATAATCTTCTTAGGCTGCGCGCCACTTGCAAGCTATTCAATGAAGTCCTGAAGCCTTTTGCCCTCCGGACGCTTCAATTAGAGTTCACGCGCCTCGATCGAACCGAGAGAAGACTAAAACCGCCCGACTACAATGCATTGCGCCGGATAGGACCTCTCTGCCAGGCGCTGTACCTGGATATGATGGTTGTGAGAGACGATAGTATGAGCTCCTATAAACACCCTGCTGCTTAATTGCACTGACTAACTCGCCTGGCCGGTATAGGTGAAGTAGGGTTCTTGGGCAGTATGTTCGCTCAGATCCCCGCGATGGATTCCTTTGTATCTCGTCTACGAAACACCTACTGCATGAATGACTACTCCTTCACCGAGATCGACTACCGCTACCAACTAGGCCGTCTTCTAGAACAGGCGCCGAACGTCACAGCAGTAAAGCTAAACCTACCCTTTCAATTGGTGTCCCCAGGACCGTATAGCGCAACGACTATGATCCTAGGAAATACCTTCGAAGCGTTGGCGCAGCGCCCTGAAGAATCCGAAACTCTCAGGACCTTGGTATTAGAGAACCTAACCGATAGGTCCATAGCGAGCCTCTGGCGAAACCCTCAGGACGTGAAGAACATAATCGGCGCGTTCAGGGACCTCCGACATCTATTTTTGTCGGTTCGGCGAAATGAGGAGGAACGAGATCGCACTATCAACTTCCGCAACCGCCTATGGGAGATGATCGGAAAAGCAGAGAGGCTCGAAAGCCTATGTCTGGCCGACCTGGACGTAAACGAAAAGCACTATTGGGACATCAAGACCTCGTCGCAGCGGGACTCGACGCTCGAAGAATGGCAGTTCAAGTCCATACCTACGATCCACAAGCCGCCTAAATCGGTCTTGCCCAATCTCACCCACCTGGAATTATGGCAGGTCGAAGTGATGGGCTGTGGTCTTTTGTCTGTGCTCAAGTGCTTTGGCGACTCCCTAAAGGAGCTCTTCCTAGACGGCGTGTACCTCAAGACCGTCTATAGCGCCGAGTCTCCTCAGGACGTAAACAGCACACTCTGGATCGGCCTGCCCAACGTACGACCGCCGCCTAACCACCGGTGGGTAGCAACATACCTGCGCCAGATCCGGGCCCAACTTCGCGTCTGCCGCGTCGCCAACCTGGGGTACGACCAGTACGTCATGAGTGATAATCCTCTCAACAGTGCAGAATACGACACCGTGGATCCCTGCGGACTAGGGCGGTGCTTGGAGCAGCGATTCGTAGAGGTAGCCACGGGAGTAAAGCAACCAGCCGCCCCCGACGGCTCTCCGGTGGCTTACTTCCCCGAAGAGGGGTCGCAGGAGTCCTGGGCCCAAGCCGACCGGGAACGGCCCGCCGATGGACTCCGCATCGAGGACTGGAACGTAAAGCACTACATGGCAACGCGATACAGTCCGACCTCGAGTTGGCAGCGGTCCATCGACGGCTTGTTTCCCAACTGCAACCAGTTTACACTGAACGCGCTTAATAGCTTTGCTGACAGCGCCTGCACTGGCATGACGCTGCTGAAGCAGCTGCATGATCACGAGAATGAATTGTCTACATCTATATAATATAGCGTGGCGGAGACGTGTATGTGTGTGTGTGTGTGTGTAGCTTTCCTTCAAACCTCTTTTCTCAAATACCAAAGCAAAATACCCCTTTTATACGACGCTCCTTTGTTTTCATTTTACGATTCATGCTTAGTGTTCCCTTGGCTTATATGGCAAAGAGCCGTTATAATAGCAATACTGGACGAGTCTGTTCGTGGACGCTGATTAGACGTGTGGTTTAATAGAGAAGCTGGATCGACTCCTAGGTCTTCTTTGTACGCAAAATTAGATACCACAAATCCAGATATTAGTAACAGAGCAAAGGAACCATTAATAGGCCGATGAGAGCATCCAGAGTAAAATAAACGGTTGTTCTTATTTACACTATGGTAACTCACAACGTGTACGTATTGCATCCTGGGAATCATGAATTTCATTCACCAACCTACTCGACATTGCACAATTTGTGCAGCGTAACATTTGTACTGAGGGCTAGGCAACTCGGGGGGAAATATAAGAAGAAAACGGGGTACTCTTGTCCATCTACTACCTACTGGACATCCTTGACCTTGCGAGGCCTTCCTCTCCCAAGAAATACCAGGATATCCACACATCACCCCCCTTGTTCTATTCGCGACTCCAACAAAAACAGAAGCCTTTTGCCAACTCGAACGTCGAAGAAATAGGATTAAGGACACGAGTATTCGACAACAGGAACTGATGGAAAGCGAACCTAGGGGTATTATACGCTCAATGCAGAAATCTTAGTACTCGGCCTCGGTCTCATCCGGCTCGAAGCTATCAGCCGCAACCTCCTCGTAATCCTTCTCCAGAGCTGCCAAATCCTCACGAGCCTCGGAAAACTCGCCTTCTTCCATACCTTCACCTACATACCAGTGCACGAAGGCGCGCTTGCTGTACATGAGGTCGAACTTGTAGTCCAGACGAGACCAGGCCTCGGCAATAGCAGTCGTGTTGGACAACATAGAAACGGAGCGGTCGACCGACGCGAGACCACCGTCAGATGGCGATGCGGTGGGAACAGCCATGGGCTTCTGGTAATTGATACCCAGCTTGAAACCAGTAGGGCACCATTCAACGAGGTTGAAGGAAGACTTCGCTTTTAGGGCAGCAATAGCAGCATTGCAGTCACGAGGAACAACATCACCGCGGTACAGGAGGGCGACAGCCATGTACTTGCCGTTTCGAGGATCACAGACAACCATCTGATTGTTCGGCTCGAAACCTGTTAAGTAGGTTAGTCGTCTGAATGTGATAATAATAGCCATAGCAACGTACATTGGAAGGTAAGGTCATGAACCTTGAAGCTCTCGTGGGCACTCTTGGCAGCCGAGATGACAGGCGCGTAGCTGATCAGAGGATAGTGGATACGAGGGTACGGGACCAAGTTGGTCTGGAACTCGTTCAGATCAACGTTTAGAGCACCATCAAATCGTAGGGATGAAGTAATAGAGCTGACAACCTGAGCAATAAGGCGGTTCAAGTGCTCAGAGTTGGGACGAGGGATGTCGAGGTTACGTCTGCAAATATCGTAGACAGCTTCGTTATCAACCAGGAATGTACAGTCGGAGTTCTCGATAGTACTGTGGGTAGATAGAACAGCATTGTAGGGCTCGACAACGGCGGTAGACACACGAGGGGCCGGGTAAACAGCGAACTCGAGCTTGCACTTCTTGCCATACTCGGTGGAAAGACGCTCGAGAAGAAGAGCACCAAAACCGGAACCGGTACCACCGCCGAACGAATGGAAGATCAAGAAGCCTTGAAGCGAGTTGCAGTTGTCTACCAAAGTTGTTAGCCGGGTTAAACAGAATACCCTCGAGCTACCAGAAAGGATATTTCTCACCTGTCACACGGCGAATTCGGTCAAGGCAGTTATCTATCATCTCCTTGCCGATTGTGTAGTGACCTCGGGCGTAGTTGTTGGCAGCATCTTCTTTTCCGCTGATCAGAAGTTCCGGGTGGAAGAGCTGACGATAGTTGCCGGTACGGATCTCGTCAATAGGCGAGGGGTCCAAGTCGACGAAGATGGAACGGGGTACATATTTGCCACCGCTGGTCTCGGTAAAGAATGTCTCGTAGGAACCGCCATCCATAACATCCTTTGAAGCATTGGGGTCTGGGCGACCATCAGGTCCGAGGCCATGCTCAAGGAGATACCTGCGTGCGGTTGTGAGCTATAGAAACTACGCCTTGGAGCTTGACAGGCGAAGCGGTGTGATACTTACAGCTCCCAAGCGCTGTTACCGAGCTGAGTACCAGCCTGGCCCAAGTGAAGGTGGAGGATCTGAGTACAGCAAAGGTGTTAGTCAGTATGCTAAGGGTTGGGTAGACGCGTGTCTACAACATTTCGTTTAGGAGTAGAACAATTGGGATATAGAAGTAAACTTCAGCTTATAGGAGGGGGACGGTTATTGGGCTTAAGGCGATGTCTAGAAATTGAGACGATAGCTCTTAGGTTTTAGCTCTTAGAACTTTCAGTAACTTACTTCGCCCTTCATGATGAGATCGTAGTATTATAATCGGGTGATTGGAATACCGCGACTGAGACTATTGTCTGAACTGGAGGAAGAAGGTAGGTAGGCCAGATGCGCACAGCGCTGGTAGGTAATT